TGAGGTGGTCGAGTGTGAGGGGTCGAGTGAGGGGGTCGAGTGTGGGGATTGAGGGGGGTCAAATGAGGGGATTAATGGGGTGAAGTTAGGCAGTCGAGTGAAGGAGGTAGAGTGAGGGGGGAGGGGTCGAGTGGGGGGGGGGGTTCGAGTGAGGTTTCTTTCATAAGGGTGACCAGAGGGGCTCTATTTTTACACCCAACACACACACAGGGATTGTGATAAATCCTAATATTATCCAAGAGGAATAGTGGATATCAGATAATATTATTACTAACATTTTTCACCCAAACAACAACAACATTTTTCCAGTCAACGTTGTGCATATGTTTTTCCCCATTACATTATCTCCATTGAAAACAGCTTGAATGGTTTTCAATGAAATTTCCTTTAAGATTTAATCGTATCTTTCGCTGGATTGATCGGATACATAGCGCGCCTGTGTTGTAGTGTTGTTGATTGAGAGGGCGAGGACGATCGAGGGATACAAGATACAATGTATCCGTGTATCCTACAGGTGATTGCTGACTCCCAAATACATTGGAAAAACGAGAACTCTCAAAGCCTGTTAGAACAGCCCTGCCACCGAGAACGAATGTGATACACAGAACAATCACAGTAGAGTTATATATAAATAAATACAATTGACTAGATTGCGTCTGGGTACCACTAGATTAGTGGTACAATTGACCACTAGATTAGTGGTACAATTGAGTAGAGCCCGTCTGGGAACATCCAACGCGTAGGTTCGAACTCTCATCAAGGCCCTTCTGGATTTGTTCAAGCATGATTATACCTTCGAAGGGTGAGTTTGCTTCTGTCAAGCATATCTTCCAGCAAGAAAAGAATATGTGGTGTGCCTGTAAGCTCATACATTCTGATTTCCGACAGTCAGGTTCGAATAATGTTTTTATAATTGATAACAAGACAACATTGATAACAACATTGATAACAACATAACCAGATGTCTGTTGTCTTGTTATCACCGAGAACAACACTAAAATCTGTGAGACTAAGCTGAAGAGTGTAATTATCTCCGCTGTAAATCAACGCCCCGTCACATGTTTTCCACTCTACATAACAGCAAGAACGGCGACACCACTGATGGGGTTAAACCACTTGATGTATGACTCAAGAGGAAGGGCCTAGTAGAGCAACCCGTTCTCTCAAGAAATACTTCTCAATTCGTACCTTATGGTACCCAATCTGCAAATTACAAAGTACTATGGAAATCAGCGGCTCATAAAATAACCCCATTTCTCTATGCATCAGAATGTTAGATTAGGAGGTAAGGGTTACTGCTTTTGTTCGTGCGTTTCTAGTTAGGTTAGGACATTGCATTTTTGTACGTTGTGGTAAATGAAGACAACGGGCCTGAGTTGAGACCCCTTATCACTCCACATCTATGATAGGCGAGAATAGATGCTTCGGCCGTTTTCTACCTAAGCATCCCAGATGCAACATTTGTATCTCTTTTTCCCTACATCGAGTAACGTTGCACAGCATCTTTATCTTCTTGTCATTCTTGCTTTGCACTCTAGACACACACACTTAATGAACAAATCCACAAGGGCCGTGACGAGGGTTCGAACCTACGTCCGAGAGGATCCCAGACGCTGCCTTAATCGACTGAGCTACGACATGGTAAAAGAATTGCAACCGGGAAATTATCCTGATTTACCAACGGATCCTGCAGCCTCTCCGAGACACAAACCAGGTTTTTACTCAATTCCCCCCATGCACCCGAGCTATGTCAATAGGCTGTTCTACCTCTTCGCCCTTACTTCATTAAAAGTAATGAAGGGTTTCATTTCAAGGCTTTATTACAAGGGCGAAGAGGTAGAACAGCCTATTGACATAGCTCGGGTGCATGGGGGGAATTGAGTAAAACCGTGGTTTGTGTCTCGGAGAGGCTGCAGGATCCGTTGGTAAATCAGGAGGATTACCCGGTTGCAATTCTTTTACCATGTCGTAGTTCAGTCGATTAAGGCAGCGTCTGGGATTCTCTCGGACGTAGATTCGAACCCTCGTCACGGCCCTTGTGGATTTGTTCATTTGATGCATCACGCTATTGTAACTTCTGTGTGTCACGCACTTAGTTTTGAAGTACAGGTCCCGAGGGTGATGTGAACGCCTCCATCACCTCCAGAGTGATGTGAACGCCTCCATCACCTCCAGAGTGATGTGAACGCCTCCATCACCTCCAGAGTGATGTGAACGCCTCCATCACCTCCAGAGTGATGTGAACGCCTCCATCACCTCCAGAGAGGGATGTGAACGCCTCCATCACCTCCAGAGTGATGTGAACGCCTCCATCACCTCCAGAGAGGGATGTGAACGCCTCCATCACCTCCAGAGTGTGATGTGAACGCCTCCATCACCTACAGAGTGTGATATGAACGTTCCTACCACCTCCAGTGTGTGGCTCAGACATCTGAATCAGTGTGGATTAATCAAGAGCGAGAGAGCGCTAAGCCACTGTGGCTATCCCACACCATGCCTGTACCAGGCACTGGAGAAGCCCTTGGCGAGAGATGAATATCAAACACTGCCCGAGGCAACGTCTGTCATGAGGTAGAGTTCCATCAACCTGAACATAAGAATAAAGGTAACTGCAGAAGACTTATTGGCTCGTAGACCAGACCACACACTAGAAAATGAAGGGACGACGACGTTTCGGTCCGTCCTGGACCATTCACAAGTCGATTGTGAGAATCGACTTGAGAATGGTCCAGGACGGACCAAAACGTCGTCGTCCCTTCACCTTCTAGTGTGTGGTCTGGTCAACATACTTCAGCCACGTTATTGTGACTCCTCGCCTGCACCTATTGGCTCATACGAGACAGCTCCTATTTATAACCACCCAATCCCACTCATATACATGTCCAACCCACGCTTGAAATTGGAGACTCTGAATGGTCTTCATGAGTTCTCTACCATTCGTGAAGTTAGGGAATTCAGTGCCCAGGTTAGTTGATCAGTCCAGTTAGTTGATCAGTCCAGCAACCAGGAGGCCTGGTCGACGATCGGGCCGCGAGGACTCTGAGCCCCGGAAGCACCTCAAGGTTGTTACATTGCAGGTAAATAAGAGCGATTTTTAATTCGTTGTCAAAGGGAACAATCAGCTTAGTAATGCAAACGTGGGTAACGAGGTGGTACCCGCCAAACACACACCGAAACTATGACGTTGGTACAACGTTCGAACAAGTTTTAACACCTAACCATTTATAACAACTAATATAGCAAGTTGTAACAACGTTCTAATACGTCATAAACACGTTAAGCCAAGATGTAACAACTCTATTACAAGTTGTAACAAGCGGAAAATAGAGACAGTTTCGGTTTGTGTTTCCAGGGTAACGATTTGCTGGTACAGTAACGGTGACTGGTAGATCCCTCAGCGTGACCAACGGCCAGTTTGTGTTCTCCAGTCAAATATAATTACTGTTTATATATGACTCATTAACCGACACATTTTATCAAGCGGGTACTACATGGACACTATTAACTACGGTCTCATAATTACTGCTGAACAATGCACTTGGGGTGGACGGTAGAGCGACGGACTCGCTTCATGCAGGTCGGCGTTCAATCCCCGACTGTCCACATGTGGTTCGGCACCATTCCTGTCCCCCCCTTTCCATCCCATTCCTGACCCCTTCCAAGTGATATATAGTCATAATGGCTTGACGCTTTCCCCTTGATAATTCCCTCCTGAATACTGGTAACAGCTGAACTCTATGACAAAAACTCCCTGTTATCATTTACCTGGAAATTATAATAACTCGCATCTATTGCCAACTATTAATTCATAACAAATGAATTTCCCGAGAACTATTTCTACGTAACTTTACAACAACTAATTTCCATTAGTCATTACTTACAAAAGAAATTCCCTCTAGCATTAATATTCTAAAAATCAGCTTCATTACTTCAAGTATTTTGAGTCATAAACTCTCAAAGCTCTCGTTGCCGCTGTTTAAACTCTTATATATAAACTACTTAAGACTTTCATCTGAGAACATAACAACTAAGTCAGTTGCAGACGGCCCACTGGCCAATATGAGGCAGCCTCAATTGGCCCATACGAGGCTTCTCATATTGGAACAAACGAGGCATATATTGGAACAAACGAAACATCTATTGACCCATACGAGGCATCTGTTGACCCGTACGAGGCATCTATTGACCCATACGAGGCATCTATTGGCCCGTACGAGGCATCTATTGGCCCGTACGAGGCATCTGTGCCTAATTAATACTTGAAACTAAGCGATCACACGCCCCCTTACATCACCCGCCAAACCGGCTCCAAAAATCAATAACCCTGTTTCCATAGTTATTTTTTCAATCGTTATTCGCCACAAAAACTAAAGCACCAAAAAGTACCACTAGATCCAAGAGGTAATAAAGGTTTCAGTTACTCAAGAATACCAAAATGACTCTTCCTCATCCTCACACTGTTTAGCAAACCGTGTAAAACATTCTTAATTTTTTTTTTCATAAATTTTGACTTCATATATTTAGTATCACAGGAAGTCTCTCTTGAGATGAGGATGATTCTTATAACTGAAATATGTTTTTTATAAATTTTGATGGTTAGGAGGGGACCTTGGCATGGGGGGGGGGGAGGGGAGGATGAAGGAAGAGATAGAGAGGGCTTCGGGGAATTGCTATATGAATACATTAAATATTCATATATAAACGAATTCTCGTACGAAAAAGTGGGGAGCCGGTAGGTCTCTTGTAGGCCTACAGGTGCAATCAATACAAGGCTTGCACTCAGGGAGGTATTTCGTGTAGGCCTACCCCACTCTTCACGCAGTGTATGAAGAAGGTAGGGATCTAGAGAAGACCGTAGGGGGGGGGGTCTTTTCTTCGCAAGAAGTGTGTAGGCAGTGCTGAGAAGGAGCGAGTCGACGGAGGTATCACGTGTAGACCTACTCACCACATGAGGCTGCAAGAGAGAGAGAGAACACAACACAAAGATCATCTGTCCTTACCCACAACGTTGAGAAAGGCCAGCAGTTCACAGAAGAAGTATCTGTAAGCCCACCAGTTGTGATGTTTGAGGTTGTCAGCGAGGTAATCCAGCAGCAACTTCTTCTTCTGCTTCTTCTCCACTTCAGAGCAGATGCCCACGTCCAGATCCATCATCAGGGCATGGATTTTGCCACCTTCCCAATTTTTCCACATCCACCTCGGCGCATAGAAGCAGATTGCCTGGAAAATTAAAGAGCAAGGCCGTCATCCCGGACTGTTGCAGAGGAGAAAAGAGGAAGAACAGGAGGAGGAGAAGTTTCAGAAGAAGAGGACAAGGAAGAAGGTGCAGACAGGAGGAGCAAGAGGTTAAGAATAACAGAAATAATATGAGGAGTGGGGGAAAAAAAGCATAGCTCTTTTGTCCTGTACAAGAGCCAGATATCAGATACAGATAACACAAAATAGCACATTATATAACAGAAATATCACACATGAGATGACCTTCACTAAAAAACAAAAATAGTGAACCAAAGTGTCGTGTACAGATAGATAAGTGTTAAGGGTCGAGAACCGAGATCTTGCCCGATAGATCATGATAGACGCGACCTCACTCAAAGTAGACAATAATTCACCACTAAGTCAAAGAAACGGCTTCATGACCAGAGAATGAGATATCACGTGAGGTTTATGAGATTTTCTTGCTATCGATTAAAGACTTCGTTTCTCCTGCAGAACGTCTAATGATATTTCTGGATTGTTTAGGAGTCTCGGATAATAAATTGAGAGGCATCTTAGCTGCAGGGATGGAGGGTCGTCTTAGATAAAGGGGGGGGGGTATAGAGGCATCGTAGCTAAGGAGAGGTATAGAGGCATCTTAGTTGAAGGCAGGAATAGAGATATCGTAGCGGAGGGAAAGTATAGAGGCATCGTAACAGAGGAGAGGTATAGAGGCATCTTAGTTGAGGGAGTAATGATGATCTGTTGCTTCTCTCCTAATATAAAACAAGTTTAAGAGAAACAACAGGTCAGTGTCCCTTACAGGTCAAGGTCCACTACAGGTCAGTGTCCTTTATAGGACCACTACAGGTCAGTGTCCTTTATAGGACCACTACAGGTCAGTGTCCTTTATAGGACCACTACAGGTCAGTGTCCTTTATAGGACCACTACAGGTCAGTGTCCTTTATAGGACCACTACAGGTCAGTGTCCTTTACAGGACCACTACAGGTCAGTGTCCTTTATAGGACCACTACAGGTCAGTGTCCTTAATAGGACCACTACAGGTCAGTAACAATTACAGTTGAAAGTCCAATATAGATCAAAGCTCATAGATCACGACCCATTCTAGATAAGGGTTCAATATAAGACAGGATCCACTCTAGATAAGAGGTCAGAGGTCACACAATAGCCAGGAAACTGTATGTATCCCATTAGGCAGTTAATTTAATAGATTAACGTATATAGGAACATGACAGGCAAGGCATTAAACAGGAGGGGAAAGGTCTATTATTGACTGTAATGGTACACATGCAAGGTAGGAGGGGGAGGAGGGAAAGGGGGAGGGGGGGGATTACACGAAGTAGCTGTACACATGAGATTAGGGATACATGAGCTGGGGGGGGGGATACAGCCAAAGACACTACAGATAAAGATACAGGTGGAGACAAGTAGCTTCTCTTATATGGGCAGAACTGGACGCCTGAAGGAGAAGAACAATATGATGACTCTGAACATTATTCAGTATTGAACATTGCTGTCAATGAACACTGGGGAACAGTGAACTTAAAAAAACACGATAAAGACAATCTTCTTCTGTTCACTAGTGCTGTAGAACACTGTAGAACAAACATTTACCATATCATTCACTAGAAAACATTGAATGCTAAAGAACACTGTACCACACAACACAGAACCAATTAGAGAATAGAGGACTATGAAATACAATGGACACAAGGGAATGCGAGGAATAGAACAGGAAACATTAGACAGTACTGAGAACAGAACTGAGATCGCAGAGATGGTACATATATGTATCCTGTGGTGACCTATCCCAGGTGACCTATCCCACGTATCCCACAGAAGGCTCAGAGAACTTGATAACACATTATCCCGTGCTGAGCTAAGCATCACTTCAGTGAACAATCTTCTACATAACCATCTGTAGTTCCTCATCTCATCAAAAGAACAACAGATTATCGAATGCTAGTGAACAGTGAACACCAGAGGACCCCAAGAATAACAGGAAATATTGTGAACAATAACTAGCACTAGAAACCCTGTTATGGTTAATGACCATTTAACCTTAATGAGTAGTGAACACCACTGGAGGGATTACAACTGGATGCAGGGTACAACACAGGACAAAATGCAGCATAGGTAGGGTACGGCACGTGGAAGGGTGCACTACAAAGCAGGGTACACAACAGCGTAGGGTACACCGAGGAACAGGGTACATTGCAAGACGGTACACAACGGTACACAAATTTTCATATTGGAATGAGAATACATGTCGGTAGGCCAGAGGTGGTGTAGGAAGTCCCACCCAGCTACACAGACTCACACAGTGAGTGCTACACAGTTCATGGTCGTCTGAGGCCACTACTACCAATACACAAGTGTGTGTGTGTGTGTGTGTGTGTGTGTGTGTGTGTGTGTGTGTGTGTGTGTGTGTGTGTTCCTGCTCCCTGTTGTTCCACACAAGCCATCGTCTTGTAGAATGTTCCACAAGGCGACAACACACAAGGTGAGGATACACATTTAATCCTGTATCTGTGGCTGGATTAATCATCCTTTTCTGATTCATATTTTCATATTTCGTGTTTTATTTAGAAGTATTTATCATATCTCCCCTCGTTTGTTTTTGTTTCTTCTAGGGAGGTCAGTTCATAATTTTTTTTACCTCCCTCTCTAATATATCTTAAGGTTCCAAAACCGGTTTGGAAGCCTCTCATAGAGCTCCTCTTTCTAGTTTGTTCATAAAGATCCTCATGTGAAGGTAAGAAACAGCCGCTGCATATTCCACCTTTGGTCTGACGGGTGTTGCAAACGTTATTGAGTATTTTTCTCTTCACATATTCCATGTCAGCCAAATGGTGACTAGCACTGTAAAATGGCTTGATATATAATTTACCCTAGTGACAATAATTTATAGCGTGATTGATTTGATGAATTTATTTCTTCAAATAACGGCATTATGTTATCTGATAAAGTGTTCACTCTATGAGGTCAATTCTTATCCTCACTATGGAACTTATTCTCACTACATGGCACTTTTCTACGATAAAGTAATTTACCCACATTTTTTTTCAACAGGATTAATACACTTTTCTAGATATAACTCTATCGGCTTCAATCCATTATCTCTAAAAATGACCATTACTTACTGATGAAACTTGTCCGAATCTCAACGAAACTTCTCAAATAGGTCCATGCCTAATAGGCGTTAACTGCCTAATAGGCGTTCCTCGTGCTAGGTGAGTGGGGGTATCCCAGTTACTCATGTCTGAAGTGTCCAGTTAATATCACTTAGATCATATTCTTTGCATAATAAGCACATTACAGCTGTCCACTTAGCAGTTTCTTTCAATATCTTGGTCGTTGTATCCCTTGATCCTTCTTCATTTCTCTAGAGTTGGCGATTTCAGTTCTTTAAAATGTTTTTATAACTCGGTTCTATTATTTGCGTTGACATTCTTGAGGCATATTTATGGAATCTATCGAGTTTGTTTATGTTTCAAGATGTACGAACTCCCACCCAGATGCTTGGCAGTCATAGATTTTGTTAAATGTCCGTAACTATTACATAGGTTCTGTTAAATGTGCAGAATGCCTCTTTTACGTAGGTTGTGTAAAGTGTACAGAATACCCATCTTACGTCGGTTCTATCTAGTGCCCTGAAATACCACGTCATTCACGTACCTCGCTGATGTGATCTTTCTCTCATACTAGAGAAAGACTGGATGTGACGACAAGTGCCAGCTATTTTATATTTTCAGAGGCTATGAGATGCATTCCCCTTGGGATGAAGTTTTCTTGCCTTTCGATTCCGGTTTCCATCCTCATTGCCTTAAATTTGTGAAGCGTTGCTTTTGGTTTTTGAGGACTGTTAGAGATGTATTTCCTTTTTTTCGGTAGGTTCAGACGCAGGAAGAGAAGCTCACGGTGAGAATGTCTTATTGTCCGAAACGGATGAAGAAGGTGTTAATTTTTGTAGGATATTATACCCGTGAAAAGGTTAATTAAGCGGTCATCCAAGTTTTATAGTTACTGAGTACGTTTGGGTCCAGAGAGATGCGAACGAGTGTCTTGTTTTGTTTTAGAAGCTGCATCCGGGGTCTTTTTGATGGCTAAAGATGTTCCTGGAGATCTACTGACAAATGATTGGAGGTTTGTTCCCAGCAATAAATGTCTGGGTTTAATCCATTTAGGTGCCAGGGTGATGCTCTTCATTGCTGTGTCTTGTAGAGTTTCAAGGAATTTAATTACTGTGGTTGAGGGAGAGATGAGTGCCGGCAGACCATAGTCGAGGTCTGCCGGCACTCATTCAGACCAGAATGTCCTTCGTCCAATGCTTGTGAGTATGACATTCTGTGTTGTGTCTCACTCCTGTCTTGTATTAGGATACGACTGCTGTTATGTTGTCTGTGCTTCGTGGATTATATTTTCATGTTGGACTGTCAAGGGTGCGAAGTTCTCGCGACGAGAACATTTTCTCTTTGGTGTACACCAGTGTGTGTGTTTATGATTTGTATTTTACTATTTTGTGCATGCAGGATCGAGCTCTTAGCTCTTGGACTCTGCCTTGCTATATATCGGTTGTCTAATGTACTGACTCCTGACCTATTTTTCTTCTATCTTGTCTACATATTTCACACACCACACATACACACACACACGACCAAAGAGCTAGAGCTCAACCCCCGCAAGAACAAATAGGGTAGTACACACACACACACACACACACACTCCTGCACACGCCCCCAGGATGCAGCCCGAAGCAGCTGTCTAATTCCCAGATACCTATTTACTACTAGGAGATCAGGAGCATCAGGTGAACGAAACTCTGTCCAATTTTTTTTGGACTCGACCGGGAATCGAACCCGGGCCCTTAGGACTACGATCCCAGAGCGCTATGCATTCGGCATTATGTACCCACCTACGTGTGTGTGTGTGTGTGTGTGTGTGTGTGTGTGTGTGTGTGTGTGTGTGTGTGTGTGTGTGTGTGTGTGCGCGCGCGCGCGT